ATTTTTTACCGGATTGAAGTTATATATTTACAATTATTTTTCATAATTTTAAATTTAACCGACGTTTCGCGTGCTTTACAGCGTGCGTGGTCACGGTGACCAATTAAAAATAATTGTAAATACATAACTTCAATCCGGTAAAAAATTGTTTTATTATTAAATAAGTTTTTCTATTTATATGTTTATCCATATGTTTATCAAATCAACCATTAATAATAATAATTAACCATTAATTCGAGTATTATATATACTAGTATACCTCCGAAGTCAAAGTCAAAATCATTTATTCATATAGGTAACACAATGTACACTTATGAACGTCAAAAAAGAAATACATATTAAATGCTTCTAATTTTACATTTACTGCCAGTTCTCAAATCAAGGGAAGAAATAAAAGCCTCCTCCAAATTCTTCTACTGGTCTCTCATCTTCGCTAATATTTACTAAATTCTCCCCGCTATCTCTTCTATTTCATTCGTCCTCTCCTATTTCTGCCCATGGGCCAAGTTAAATACCTTTTTGACCTATCTGCCATCACAAACGCGGGCAGGATGACCGGCCTATTTCTAATTTAATCTTTTTGAGCGTGTTACCACGTCTGTTATTTTTGTATTCGTATTACACTGTTTTTTATTATGTATTTATTTTTAACCAAACAATATTTGGCCCATCTGAATTACGCGTTTTTAAGGAATATTACTCGATATTATTGAAGCAATTATTTCGAAAACAAAAACACATCACTCTATTGTTTGTTTTATTTATGGACTTCACACAAAATTCGTGAGACATATGGATTATTTATGTCAAGGATTGTTTTTACAGTAGTCTGTGAAATATTTTTTTCGTTTATACAAGCAACATCTTCAGTGTATCCAGTTATATAACAGTTAGTTAGTTAGCTTTTCAAAGGGGGAACGCTGCCAGTGTCTTCGGAACCTTGCCTAATGGTACTCCTTTTAATAATATATTTTAGTCATTATTTTTTAAGGTTATATTGTTTATTGTTATATAGTTAAATTATATATTAATAAATAATATTATTATGATTAATTCATTATGTTATCCAGTTATATTGTTTACAGCGTTATTTGTAATTAATATCACATTTAAGCTTTAAAAGGAAGTTCACAAAGATATTTCCCAAGCATTAAGATTAAGTTCCCGCGATTACTGCGAAAGTGAGCAGAGAAAGGTGGGTAATTAAAATGGTTCGCAAGGTTAATGTTACAATAATAACTCGAAATTGTATTAAATATAATTAAGATTATGCGAATATACATTTCATCAAACAATTGACGGTCAATTCAAATCGATAATCCGAGCTTTTTAATAATTTAAATACAAATTTTAACTCTTCATTAAATCTTCCTATATATTATATAGATGTCATGTGATGGTTGCAGCTGCTTACGTGCAAACGTTGTGTAATTAAAAAAACATGGCGATTAAAAAGAGTGGCGGAGAGTTTATACTTTATTGCCAGTTCTTCTATTCCGTTCTACGCCCTTCATTTGAGAACTGGCAGTAAATGTTAGAAGCATTTAATGTATATTTCTTTTTTGACGTTCATAGGGTACCTTGTTACCTTTATGAATAAATGATTTTTGACTTTTGACTCCTAGAAGTTATAGATCACTGCCGTGTAATGCTTTCAAGGGGAAGGTGATTAATTTTTTAAAGGCAAGGTGCTTTTAGTGGGAGAGTATTTAGACCATAAACTTTTGACAACAGTTATAAATAACTTAACTGCTCTTATTGTTTTTATGACATTATCATAATTTGACACATCATGCATATTTTTTAAAATCAATTGTGCGATATTTTTAAAATCAATCTGAATGTACCCGTACTAGCTTTACAAATAAACGATTTATTATTATTATTTTTTTTGAATGATATATCATTAAATGAATGGGCAGGTTATTACGGGCAAATATTTAATAAATTACCGTCTAAAATTCGAAATATTAGCGAGTTTAAACAATTTAAGGACATTAAAGATTCACATCAAAATGAGCCTATAAACTCTATCTTCGTATATTAAGTTTCATATGTAATAAAATATCATTGTGTGAGAAATTAAGTTCTTTAAACATTAAAAATATCATTTATATTTTATTCATATTATAGGTAACCCATTTCTACCTATACCCGGCCATAAAAAAATAGTCTAACTTTACATTAACTGACTGAAAACTAGTCCGTAGAACAGTCGAGAAGATTAAATTTAAAATAACACATATGTGTTATATAATATTATTAGATTATCCTTGTTTTATATATAAAACAATAGGAAAATTTCAACATAGCGTGTAATGTTACCGCATGACAGACGAATATATGCCTGTTTGATTTATTAAAGTTGTTATCATGTTCTGTGACCTCAAAACAAAATTTTGTCTGGATTCACAACAGAAGGAGAACTAAGACCATTATTGATTATTGTAAGTATCAATACAGCGAGGAAGTGCTGCCAGCGTTAAAGGTACACTGCCACAGGGACAAAACTTTTTTTTTATTTATTTATTTCTTAATACTACAGCTAACATACTTAAATATATAATAACAAACAGTTACACTGAAAATATAGCCAGAGATGGAATACATAATATAATACATTTTACTACAAAAAGGTTCAAAAATTTATAAAAGGAAACAAACAAATAAAAATTATTCAATACATTCAACTAAGTAATACCTAATTTGGCTGCGCGATACAAAACAGCTTTTTGCATAGTTATTATTGATGTGAGGAAGATGAAACAAAGCACGATTACGAGTCTGTTAGGCAGGAACAAGGAAGGGCAATTTTTCTAGAAGGGAGCTGCAATTAATTTTATTTAATATGATGTCATGTAGTAGCAATAAATCATATTGTTTTCGTCGAGAGTCTTAAGTATGTGTGTACATTTTATGTGTAAACATTACACGCGTTTTTATATGTATTAAACTTATTATAGTTTTAATTTTCTTTTTATTAATTTTTAATTATTTTTATTATTACTATGTAGGAAAGTTAAGACCATTATTCAATATCAAGATATTGAAAACGTACACTCTCTTTTCAATTTACTGAACGGAAACGATTTCTAGTATATTAAAAAAACATTAGTACTTAAAGCAAGGAAACCATAATAGCTTAGTATTTTGCAAGAGCGGAAAGCATATTTGCAGAACCACACGCAGTTCAACCACAGATAATATTTACTAAACCATAGATACTAGAATATTTGTATTGAAATTCGTTTGTCTTGAACACAAAAATTTAAGTTTGAACTAGCAGAAAATTACTACAGTCAAAACCGTTTACGACGACATCATTTAGAACAACACACCGGTTATATTGACCAAAATCAAAGGTCCCAGCTGAATTCTATACTTCATTAGCTGTTACGACAAAATATGCGTAGTCCCTTCAATATCGTTATAAAAGATTTTGACTGTATTAGTTAAATGATATTTATTATTAGTTTCAGTATTTTTTATTTGTAGATATATTTACTAAAAGACAAAGTACCAGTTCACAACTATCATCAGTAACAAGATTACAATTGTTTTAACGAACTCAGAGTGCGCCGAGAATTTGCGCTTACCATGTATCATATAAAATTGTTACGTGGAAAGGAAAACAATCCCGCAGTGCTCCTAGGTGCACTGGACTGCGGGACTCATAAAAAACTAAGCTCTCGAAAAGGGCACACATGACACAATGTAAGGAAATAATTAATGAACTGCGCAGATTAACGAGACGTTTTTAATTGTCCGTTCAGTGAACTGACAAACTGCTTGCTTCATGTCAGTTCTTTTAAGAAATAGTCTTTTTATAAATATTTTAAACTTTTATAAAAGTTTAATAGTGTGAAGATATATATTATGTTAATCTTCTAACTTGGTGATGTTAATTATTTCGACTATGTGTTTGCGTGTTGTTCCCACGAGAATGTAAGTGTGTGCTCCTATTTCATAATGCCTCCTGCTGATAGAGGACAAATCTTTGTTTTTCATTTATGTTATTATTATTTATTACTTAATATGTCATGTGGAACATGGTGTAATGGTTGCAGCACCTTACAAACGTTGTGTAAAAAAAAACATGGCGATTAAAAAGAGTGGCGGAGAGTTTATTGCCAGTTCTTCTCTTCCGTTCTACGCCCTTGATTTGTGAACTGGCAGTAAATGTAAAATTAGAAGCATTAATATGTATTTCTTTAATGACGAATCACAAGTGTACATTGTGTTACCTACGTGAATAAATGATTTTTTAATTTGAATTTAACTGGGTCCTGTCGAGTTTCTCATTCCCATTAGTACATAAAATCAATATCTCTCGTTATATATGATTATTTCCTTTCAAGGTGATAATTTGTTGGTTGAATGCATTGTTGGCAATAGATAAGTGCTATATTTCTCTTTGTCGGGCGGGTCAACCTTTCACCAAGGTCAAACTAAAGTTACTATGAATGTTTTGTCCTTTTCACTCTCGTGACAATTGGTACAATCTTTAACTAAGTATTTACTATTTAGTAAGGATTTTAATTGGTTCGCCCATATAAAAAAAACTCCGACGGAGTGAAAGCCTCTTCCAAATTCTTCCACTTGTCTCTATTCCTCGCGACAATTTTCCAATTCTGCCCCGCTATCCCTTTTATTCCATCTTCCCCAGTTTTTGGTAGGCATCCTCTCTTTCTTCTTCCCACTGGGCCATTCCAAGGGTCTTATTTATCACAAATGCGGGCAATGTAACCAGCCCATTTCCACTTTAACCCTTTTGTATGTGTTACGACGTCTTTTTTGAATGTGTTCGCCCTAACTTTAAAATTAGTATTTCGATGTCCTATGCTTTCTTGATTATTAAACTAATATTAGCCTTCGTAGGGGTACATCGTTCTTAATAATGCTAAGTAATAATTAACCATTCGTAAAGTTTAATCATCGACTACTCACGTACGGTTATGTCAAATACGACATTCGGGAGTATACGGGATGTTAAAATTACAATGAACAAAGTGGTGGTTGGTGGTGGTACTTACCGTGCGATTAGACAAGTCCCCAACGGAGTCGTGGCGATGATCAAGGCTGCCGAGGCTGCAGCAGGATGTGGAAGACGAGAGGCTGACGGAGTCTGCGCGCGCGCGGTGCGGTGAGACCGCTACGTGCTTCAGCATGCCGTAACCTGTGGAGAAATTGTTGCCATTACTTTATTGCTGCAGCAAGTTATTTTGTTCTGTTTTAGTTAGAAGTATAGTTAAATTTTTCATACAATTATATAACACCAAGCCGTGATTGCAGTCAGTTTCAGCGATAGTTGTCGTAAGTTAGTTTTAAGTTAAAACATCTTTCTCTTAAAGTTACACACATATAAAGAGTAAATAAATTATTTTCCAATAATGCATAAAAAGTATAATAATAATAATAAAAGCCTGTATTGGTGAAGTGAAAAAGTGTTAATCGGCAAGCCGGTTAATTTCTGTTTCACAGCTTGTCCTTGGACATAGGCCACCTCTAAGAGCTTCCACTCTTCTTGGTGTCTAGCTTTACGAAGCCACATAGGGCCAACTGCTCTACTTATATCATCTCCTCATCTTTTTACTTGTCTTCATCGATTTCTTTTGTCTATGACAAAGCCATACACGTTGGGTTTTTCGTCCACATATTTGTATCTTATGTGCCTCGTCTCTCTTTTAATTTGAATGTAAGTCTGTATAAATATTTCTTTATAAATAATGAAGTTAAGTTATTAGTACGAGTTTTGGTTTTGATGCGTTTTGTGTGGAATTATTTATTAATGCGAACTTTATCAAACAGTGCCATACACCTATACCCTTACATTGGTTATTGAAAAAATCTTATATGCATTACAAATTCATTTAGCATTTTTTGTATCTTTTACGTAAGTCCATATTCAAAGTCAATATTAGCGCACGTGCGCAGGCCATTGTTTGATTAGGGTCTGACCATTCTAGGAAGGGCTTGATCGTATCTCGCTGCATAGCAACGCGAAGTTTAAATTTATCTTACGATATTATTTAAACATAGATGTCGCTAAATAAGAAAAAATATCTTCTTTATTATTTATATTATTATTATTATATACCTAATGTTTTTCTTCGGTTTTACAAGCCCCGTAAACCCTCATGGCTTGATACGCGTTTATGCGTTTCGTTGTAAAGCAGATATTATTGTGTTATACACCAAAACAATTATTGTTTATGGATAAAATTCCTATGCGATTTTTTTAGATTTGTGAACTCACGCGCCCATCATTTTCACGTTAATTGAATCGAAACAAATATAATGTTGGTAATAACAAATGCGTATCCGGTCGCATCTGCTGAACAATTGGTTGGATCTTTGTTCTACGTCATTAACATGTGCAAAGATGCTGTGAAGATAGTCTTTAGGTTAGAAGATTCACATCGACGCATTCATAATTATGTACATGGTATACCTACGAGTAATTGTTTTGTTACGTTTATTTATTTACTTTAATAAATATTACCTTTAAAGATTCAATAAAGTAGCCAAATATATACTGTAACATTAAGACTTTAAAAATAGAATACATAGCTTTAAATTGCTTACATTTTTCTTATGTGTTGTGGTTACCATTTCTACATAAATGGATATGGGTCACGCAGAAAAATCACCTTCTAGCCTTTTAAAACAGATAAATAAATCTGTTCGGTTCCTGGGTGCTTTAAATAATAGAAGATTTTATTTTTACTCTATATTACCCACTCGCGTACAACAATAAGCGAAATACTGAACTTTTAATTGCTATGTAAAGAATGAATGCAATGTAACAGTTGAAGTGAGTGCCTACGTCTGGCTATACTCTCGGGGCGTATACTGTCGGGGCGTATCTCCGACGATTTAGGAAGTCGCCACGCTTGTAAAGAAAGCCTGAGTGAGCAAAATGTACAGCCTTGGCTCATACAAAATCTATAATAATAATTAAGATTATTCCTGAGTATCAAACGATGTCGCGAGAGTGTAAAGTACAAATTATTTATACAAAAAATCAGACTTGAAAATTACGCAGATACCAAGTTTCCATATATGCCAGCTGTGTGCCATATTTGACTACATTTATTTGGACAAATGCCGTAATATAAACAACCAAGAGTTTGTTTGTATGACCTAATTTGGTTTGGCTTAAATGTTAATATTTATTATGAGCTACATATGTTATAGACCGTTCATTTAGATTATCTTATAAAGAACTAAACGCTGTTTTCATTCTTATGGTATGAAAACTTTGTAACCATGGTAACGACGGTAGCCATCATACATTTTGTAGGTTTGCTCATGTATAATATTATCTAACATTGTGTGTTCCTTAAGGCAGTTTTTGCCGCGCACCACAACTACACGTAGTGGAACTCCACAGAACCAGTTGCCCATCGAACTAAGTCGACATAGGGTCTTTCAAGAAAAGAGAATACCAATTCTTAATAGGCCGGCGACGCAGCTTCCTGCCCGTTTGCATAAAAAACACAACTCCGAATACTATATTTCTCTAGAATATGTTCCTAGCGATGCGAATGTGATTTTTACTAAACTCTAATTTTTATTTGTCTGTTTTTTTGTAGCTAGTTTGTACTTTCTTTTTAATATTTTTAATTATTAAAATTACACATTAATATGAGGTAAAAAAATTTACATCTCCTCTTGTATTTTTTAAGTATATTTTATAAATAAATAATATCAATAAGATAACTGTCATTTGTCAAGTTGACAGATCAGTCACTGACCACGATTGTATAATGAAACGTCGAGTTATAAACTTCATATTCTACTGTACGTGTTTATGTCACTGATCTCCTCTTAAACGGCTGGACCGATTTGAATGAATTTTTTGTATGCGTTTGGGTGGCTCCCTGGATGGTTTAGATTCATAAAGCAGCCCGGAAGTTGGAGCTGCAGTCGGTATCTAGGTTATTTATCTATACAGCAAATAAACAGCTGGTATATTTATAAATCTTCTGTGCATGTTCGTAACTAAACTCCTAAACGACTGGACAGATTTTGAAGAAATCTTTTGTGTGTTTCAAATGGAGTCAAGAATCATTTACATTTTTAGATATTTTTTTGTATACAGTAAGACGTGTGTACAGGACAACGTCTATCGGATCCTCTGGTATATTATATAATATAAATATTAATAAAGTTTATTTTCCTCTTCACAATATTGCATTTAAGGAGTTTACATGCTGCAAGTATTGAATGTCTTAGGACTATAGGAGTCCTGTGGCAACAGGTACCCAGCCTTCCATCCGAAAATAAACAACATACTATGTCTAAACTAAAAAATATTCTTAAACTTAAACTAATAATAATAAATAAAAATGGATAAATAGCAGATTAAAACTAATTTTAAAGTTTGGTCCCTGTGGCAGTATACCTTAAAATATTATAGAAACAAATATATTTGTATCAGTTTATAACATTCCCTCGGTTGCACGTTTAGCTATATAAAGCATAAGCCAGAACACGTCAAATTAATCTCAACGTGTTTCCAAACACAGGAATGGAATGCAAATTGATTGCAAATAAACCATAAACCGTATGTCAATTGTATTTACAGGAAATGGGTGTGATTAATTTTACCACAGATTAAAACTTGCGTACAGAGTGAATTTTAGTATTACCAGATTTATGCACTTCAAAATGGGATGAAATAAATAAGCTTTATTGCGGGTCTCATAGCCTAGCGGTCTTATTAAGTGGCAGCTAGGTGAGGGGTACCGGGTTCGATTCCCGGTTCGAGGGCAAGTTTTAATTTAATTTAAATTTGTTCTCGGCCTTTGGGAGGGTTGTGCGGTACCGGGCGAGTGCCTAAACCGTACATGGAGGACATGGTCGAATTTCTAAGGCAAAAGCACGAATTATAAAAATCTTATACTTGACGCTGGCTAATGCACAAACCGTGCCAGAGCCATATTAAAAAAAAAAAAGCTTTATTGCTTTTTTTTAAAACCGTTTAGTATTTAAGTTTATTTACGGTTGATATAATAAAATAACAGTTATTTCTTCTTTAACAGGTTCGATTTCCGAAGGGAACTACATATTATTTTCATGACTAAGCTATTATAGGTTCTGTAAAAATATCTTGAATACTATATAATTATAATATTGAATGATTGAATCTGTTTCGTAATCATTTGTCAATCTAATAGGCAAGTAGGTGATCAGCCTCCTGTGCCTGAGATTGACCGTCTTTTTTTGAGTCTAAGACATGGTTTCCTCACGACGTTTTCCTTCACCGTTCGAGCGAATGTTAATTGCGCACATAGAAAGTCCATTGGTGTACAGCCAGGGACCGAACCTACGACATCAAGGATAAGGGACGCACTCTAAAGTCATTAGGCATACACCCTGTATACGTTAAAGAATTCAAAAATCGCTTAATTCAATCAAGATTGCAGACGGGAAATCGTAAATGGCCGAACATGTTTACGAAACAGTAAAATGTTGAATTAATGGAAAGTAATATGAAATTTTGTGCGACTAATTACCAACTCGTTAGTCTTAAACTTGTAGTTAGTAAAGTATGTTGCTAAAACCTCGTCTTTATAATATGTATGCATTTCACTAAGTTGTAATACAAACTTAAATTTTGTATATTTCAATCTGCTATAGATATTTATCTCGATGGTATACTATTAGAGAGGGTAGACAAGGTCTGAGTCCGTCGAGCCTTCTGGTATTAAGAGTGTCACTTCACGGTGGTATCACTTTAACATCAGGTGTGCCTCCTGCCGGCTCGCCCTTAAATATCATGAGGATATTACCGTAGACTTCCAGAGACGCTACCCATCAGACCTAGTTTTACGAGATTTGGCAACAGATCTGCCTGATCGCGTGACAGGCTATTAGGAGTCATATGTAAAAAAAGTACAAATTTCATTGAATGGTCAAATATCTGAGTTACATAGGACATGAGGTGCCGCGGATCCCAGCCAGCGGGCTCCGACTCGCCCATAAATATCATGTGGATATTTCTGGAGTAGTTGTCAGGCCAAGCCACCAGACCCAGTTTAAGCAAAAGTCCAAGGCAAGGTGGGATTTGACACTCCCCTGCTGACGTCTCGGCATAGAAATACCATTCTGTGACTATAACCTAATGAGTATCTAGTTCAAAGCAAGAAATAAATAGCATTTCCTATTTACTGAACAGTTTACAATAACGACTCGTAGAATATAGAAACAGGGCCTAGGACAACAAGTACTAGGAGTAGATGATTCAGTGCTCAATTGCAGACATTAATCAATTGTAAGAAGCGACCCAAATTGTTTAATCGACTGCATAGCTTGTTGTATAATAGTGATTTCCTAGTTTCCTAAAGGATGTTAATATCCTGGTATTTTCTTATGATAAACTTCCCAATGCCGCTTAGGATAAGACGCATAGTGAAAATTGTATAGGATTTTTAAGTTTTCTGTAAAACACAATATTGTTTCAGTTTAAACAAAAGCAAGATGAGAAGTACAGAAATAAGAGATAAAACAAAAGTTATTGATGCAAATAATCTGATAGAAATATGATGACGAACAAACATAGTGGAAAGGAAAGGAAACAAGCATAGTGGATGAATCACTGATACATCGAGAGCAGAAGAGATAAGATTTACGATTAAAGTAGAGAACATTATAAAGAAAATAAGGCAATTGGCTGGACCGCCACATGACGAGAGATAGCAGGTTGAAATGGACAGAAATTATTACAGAACCACCACGAGATGGAAAAAGGAAGAGAAGACGGAGCAAGAGATGGGCAGACTATATAAAGAAAATAGGAGGCACAATTTGGACAAGAAGAGCTAACATTAGCAAATAATGGAAGCAGCTGGAGGCCACGCTGATCACCATCATATCAACCGGCATATCTGATGCATTAGATTAAGTTAGGTTATGTAACTTAAACAAATGTTTATATAGATGACAGCAATAATAATAAAATATTCTGTTGTACGAATTTAGAAAAAATCATTATCTCTATTGAAACTTGTTATAATTATGTTTCTAATAAGATATTTTTTACCATAAAACTATAATGGTTATATTTAAACGAATGTAAAAATTTAATTACACACCTAAACCTTCCTCAGTGAAAACCATATAAAAATCCGTTCGATTCATGTTCTAAACGGGATTTCAATTCATAAAATGCAAGGATAAAAAAAAATTGTGCTTGTGAGCAGTGTTAGCGTGGGACTCTCATCCCTGAGGTCGTAGGTTCGATCCGGCTCTTCAGACCTTCTTTCTATGTGCGCATTAAACATTAGCTTGAAAGGTGAAGTAAAATATCGTGAGAAAACAGGCTTGCCTTAGACCCTAAGGCTGCTGCCTCGAATTTTGCGGGCAGCGGGGCGGCAGCGGCGGCGGCGCGGGAGCGGGCTATTGCACCTCTCGTTACTCGCCCTCACGCCGCTGCCACGCCGCTGTTTTTGAGAACCGGTCCATTTGATTTTACGCATAAGATCCTGCCGCTCCCGCGCCGCCGCCGCTGCCGCCCCGCTGCCCGCAAAATTCGAGGCAGCAGCCTAAAAGTCGACGGCGTGTGTCACCACTAAGATAAGGTGAGTGAGTGCAAGGAGTGCAAAACTACCAAGACATAAAATACTTAGACAAAACTAATGGAACAAACAAAATAAATATTGATTTAATTAAATTAATTAATAGCATAGCATCATATTTTAAGCTGAAATTTCATCAAAAGTGAAAATCCATTGATTGATACTGACGCTCTTAGTAATATGATATTAAAGATGCATGCGTTATGTCTGAGTATGACCTAATAAAGGCAATACTTTATAGTGAGATGTTGTATATTACAAACTTACTACAGGCTCTTATTATCTTATTATATAAAGTCTAGGCCTCAGATTTGTGAGACTGTTTCATTTGTCAATCTAATAGGCAAGTAGCTGATCAGCCTCCAGAGCCTGACACACGCCGTCGACTTTTTGGGTCTAAGAAATGTCGATTTCCTCACGATGTTTTCCTTCACCGTTCGAGCAAATGTTAAATGCGCACATAGAAAGAAAGTCCATTGGTGCACAGCCGGGGATCGAACCTACGACCTCAGGTATGAGAGTCGCACGCCGAAGCCACTAGGCCAACACTGCTCATACATCAACTAAGCCAATTTAAAAAATTAGATTCAAGAAAAATAAACTTTACCGTCATTGTAAAGGTTCCGGCAAATTGGGTCACAATAGTATTTCCTCATAAAACTACATGCGCCTTCACGCAAAATCTTAAGTTTTTTTACCAGCCCAATGACGCACTGGTCTAACGGGTCTTCACTTTTTCAAAATGACATGAAAATAATGAGATCAAATTTAACTAATGGTATAACTCAGTACAACGGAAGTGTCTAATGTACGCAAAAAACTGCTACTAACGAAACGAGACTTGAATAATAATTTCAATCCACGAATAATATGTAAATATTGTGGAATTAAGAAACATCTCACTCAAACACTGGAGTAAACCGGACACACTCAATGCCAGAGGGCTAGCGAGTGCTGGCTAAGTCGAATTGGTTCGGAAATACTTCAGTGGGAAGCTGGTTCCACATAGTGATGTTGCACGGCAGAAAATGCCTTAAAAACGCTTAGTTGTGTAACGACGGACGTCGAGGTGATACGGGTGGAATTTCGTATTCTGCCTCGACGTCCGTAGAACTATCTAGACCAACCCAACAATAATAGCAATTTACTAGTTTAAACTATGTACTTTAGATTTGAACATAAAAATCAATCAATCGTGCGATTCTCATCCCTGAAGTTGCAGGTTCGATCCGGCTGTGCAACAATGGAATTTCTTTCTAAGTGCGCATTAAACGGGAAAGGAAAATATCGTGAGGAAACAGGCTTGCCTTAGACCCAAAAAGTCGACAACGTGTGTCAACGACGAGAGGCTGGTCACCTACTTGCCTAGTAGATTGACAAATGATCTTGAAACAGATTCAGAAATCCTTCTTTCTCTTTCTTCAACAGTGTAAAGGTTAGTCACACTTAGCAACTTAAATATAAAACGTTGAAAGTTATATTCGTAAAAGGATAGAAAGTATTATCGATAGGACATAGACAACTGACTACACAGATAAATTATCTTTTAAATTCTTAACACGTGCTGTGTGACTGTGGACGTGCGTGGATTGTTGTCATCCTGCTATAATTATCTATGGCAAAAACTATTTGTCAGCTAAGGGCAATTTTGTTTAAATTAAATACATCGTGATAGATATTGAATATCGTTTATATATAAAACTACAGAATAAAATACGACAAACTCTTTAAAAACTACGCATTAAGTGACTCCAGTAGCACGCGATTTAACAATCACTCTTTATTGTAAGTGTAAAATGGAATGACAGATGTCAAAGTTACACAGATTATTAAGTTCGTACAAAGGAAACCATGAACTGGGCTATATTATCTATGGCTTATACCTAAGGTTTAAGGTTGGTGGACTCAGTTTCCGCACTTAGACTCTCACTAGGTCTGGTGTGCGTAAAATCCTGGCTAACTAAGCCAGCCTAGCTCCTTCTAGAAGCATATAAGTCTCCTGGGCACTTCGCAGGCTTCATGGAGCGACCTCACTGCTTAGAGGATTTCTGTAGGTAAACACTAAACTGGCTTATAATATAATATTTATTTTCTTCTATTTGAGATTATAGATTTTATTAAAAAATAAAAACAAAACGTATTAATAATATAAATATTTTAGTAAAAATACTCCTTAAGAATAATTCTTTTCAATATTCTGCACGTACAAATGCAATGACAGGTGTTAAAGTTACACAGATTATTAAGTTCGTACAAAGGAAACCATGAACTGGGCTATATTATCTATGGCTTATACCTAAGGTTTAAGGTTGGTGGACTCAGTTTCCGCACTTAGACTCTCACTAGGTCTGGTGTGCGTAAAATCCTGGCTAACTAAGCCAGCCTAGCTCCTTCTAGAAGCATATAAGTCTCCTGGGCACTTCGCAGGCTTCATGGAGCGACCTCACTGCTTAGAGGATTTCTGTAGGTAAACTGGCTTATAATATAATATTTATTTTCTTCTATTTGAGATTATAGATTTTATTAAAAAATAAAAACAAAACGTATTAATAATATAAATATTTTAGTAAAAATACTCCTTAAGAATAATTCTTTTCAATGTTCTGCACGTACAAATGCAATGACAGGTGTCAAAGTTACACAGATCACTAAGTTTGTACAAAGGGAGCGATGAACTGATCTATATTTTCTGTGGCTGTAGTACGATGTATTAGATTCTATTTCAAAAGAAGATATAGATTAAAAATTCTCTAAAAAAATAAAAACAAAATTCCTGAACGTAATGAGAGGTGCACGCTCTGTTGGTTGCGCGGTATTTATCTGAATATTAACACCGTCATGCACGACCAATACTCCATTTTCTACTTATAAATCATCATTCGAAACACTGACATATAAAAGTGAAATTCGAGAGATTATCTAGAAAATGGAGAACGCGGCGTTAAAGATTAATAAACATATATATTAATACATACAGTGTAAACTCTTTATCTCGTCGTTATAACGAAATACTCTCTATAACGTAAAAATTAGTTATATTTATTTGGTTTAACCCAATACCCATACATTAATTCTTCCCTCCCTATATCCGCAACCTCTCTACAACGAAGCAAAATGCTCAGTCCATTGAAATTCGTTATAAAGAGTTTACACTGTATATAGAAAAGAATAGATAAAATACACGATTGAGAAGAACAACTAAAGTAGGAAATGTTACATTAAAAATAAATAAACTTAAGTGAAATGGGCAAAGCACATGGCAAGAGGAACTGAAAAGTGCAGCAAGAAAGTAGTAAACTGGTAGTACCTTGGGCACCAGGTAAACGCAAAAGAAGAAGACAATTTAGAAGGTAGACCTAATTATAGAACAGCAGCTAGTACATGGCAGAGAGTGGCACAGTGCAGACAGGAATGGTGGGATTTGGATTTGAATGAGATAGAAATATAAAAGTTTCAAAGTGTAAAAGCATCTGAAATAAAAGGCTATTATTATATTTATAGAGAATTAAGGAATAAACTTTTGTCTTTGCGTATACGTGTATGTCCTATGTAGATGAGCAGTCTCAATAGCGATTACCGAGGCCTAAACACATCATTATTGAAATTTAAATTTGTCTTCTATTTCTAGTGGTCTGTTTTTTTATACTCGTCGTTACCAAATACGGGATCATTATTCCAGAGATGGATACACTTCACTGTAGATAATACTGATTCAACAAAGTTTTGCAAGGCCCTAATTCCATATGAATAAACAACACAATACCTTATAACCTCATTAAAACCATAGAGTACAGAGAAGTAAGATCTGTGGTGTAGACATCGATCATCTTCATTTAGCACAGATAATAAGCCCATTGTTTCACAGATTATGAAAGATATTATTATTCGTATCTCGTGTTAAACGATCTCGCATTGGTAAAACCATGTTTGTCATGGGAATATCAACTTTATGTTAATATACAGAAGGTC